TGTGTGTGTGTGTGTGTGTGTGTGTGAGTGTGTGTGTGTGTGTGTGGCCCCTGCTTCATTTGTCCTTATCTCCTCCCTTTTGTCCCCTAAAGTCCCTCGAGGTCCCACACTTTTTTTTCACTATCTGTCTCTCTCCACCGTTCCTCTTTCTGTCTCTCTGTCTGTGGTGGAAAATGCTCAGATGTTAAATGTCGGTGGACGTGCACATACCAAAAATACCCGACACAGTCCGAGCATTTGTCCTCCTCTCACTCCCTCCTTTTCCTTCTTCGTGGCTTTTTGATGCTTCTCCATTCTCATGCTGCGCGCCTTTGCCCTTTTCTCATTTAGCCTTCTTTTCATGCCTTTCTTTGGATTCATCGCTACACATTTTGCCACCTCCCCTCCCAGCTCTTTCTCCTCCGCTTTTGCCCCCTTACCCCATCCATCATTCCAGCGCTTGAGTCAGACCGGCTCTGACTCACAAACCAAAGCATTTGAATCCCCCTCCACCTCAACTCCTGGGCCCCCAGCCATACCTACATCCAAATAGGAACTGAGACATTGGGGAAAATTCTCCTGTGAAGCTTATAAATCACAGCAGTGTGGAGTAATCTCTGTCCCTGCTGGTCATACATCTAACTGAGGGCAGAGGTACAGCTCCCAGAGAGAGGCTGCGTGACTGTAATGGTCAAAACACATGAGCTGACAGGTGGAGGCCCCTGTAGGGACTCTGTGTTTTCATCCATTGGCTGCAGGAGTCTGCGGACTCCAAAGTACAAACAGATTTGAGATTTGGAATAGAAAATTACTTTTGAATGATAATTGGCAGCGTTTCCATGCACACTTATGACTGTAATATAAAATGACCTGTATGTGTCAACACTTTTTATAGTGCAAGGTTTGTCTTTTGCTCTTCTGGCTGTAAAGTGAGTTTAACGACTTTCCCTCACTTTCCCAGCAGGGTGTATTTTACACCTTTAAGCCTTTTTGTCATTTCCCTGACCTGAGATATGTATCTCAAACTTCCTGGTATTCCTGGTGTGTACCTGGTTGGGATGAGGCCCCCATCAGGAGGAAAACCTCTGCACAAGGGTTGTTGCTGCACCTGATTATCGTGGAAAACAGCTTTCAAGAAAAAAGGACCCTTGTTTCCATCATCATTTTCCTGCTGTGATTGTCTCAACATCAGCAGATTTTTAAAACGCTCAGTGTAAATGTGTTTTCTTTGATCACCTTGTTTTAAAAGTGTAATGAGTCCCTTCATGTTGGCTAGATGTTGTAGCACTTCCAGCTGTGGTTGCACTCTCCACCCCACAGCAAATTGATTTAACGAGTTAAAGAAGCAGAAAGCTGACTGAGCTAATTGCTCATTACGATGTTTGGCCAAGTTGCCAAACAACAGTGAGGGGAAAAAAGCTCCGGCTTACCTGTCAGGGAACCGGCGCTCACAGGCCTCCAGGCGGAAAACATGAGGATCAGAAGTGACCATCTATTAAACCCTCTCATGGTTCCTCTGGACGTGAGATCACCTCTGAAAAGCAGCTTCAGGAGAAACGCAGTCATCTTGGAAACATCGCCGGACTCCATCACCACATCTCAGCAGCTCCAAGATCCAAACCTGTGCGCCTTTCCCCCTCAGATGAAGTAAAAACCGAGTTATCCGCGAATGGAACCAAAACAAATCCGCTTTCAGAGAGATCGTGGACGAGCGACAAATCTCAGCGCGCCCTGTCGCTTCCCCAGTTGTGTTGTTGTTTTGGTTGATCCAAATACGCACCGCTCTCCAAGGGCGCACGTCGAAAAAAGGGCACTCCAAACTTTTCCCCGACTGAAGTTGTCAAAATCTGGGTTTATTTCTAGAAACCCAGCGAGTATTTTTAAAACGCGTGTTTCCTGCAGCCTCTCTACTTCTCACCGGTTCTCTCAGACTCACTCAGACATTCCCCCCTTCGCCTTTTCTTCTCCCTCTCCCCCCCCCTTCAAACAGGATTCAAATTCCTCAACTCAACTTCTTTCCACCCTCCTCCTCCTCCTCTTCTCACTCCTCCTCCTCCTCCTGGGTCTCCCTCCTTCCCTCGGTGGATGTGAGGAACCCTGCGGCATGCTGATTGTCTCCGCACAATCCCCCATTCGCTTTTTAATTACGCACGGATCCACACAAGTTGTAAATAGCTGCAGTGAATCGCCCATTTCCCGCTGGAAACAAAGTAGCCTGTATATGTCAATGATTCTGTCTGATGTCAGACCTGTGCAGAGAATGAACGAGTCTGTTTACTCACAGACTTAAATCAGACACGTTGGTTTAAAACTCAAACTTTATTTGTAAACTGGGGAACAGAGGCGTCGTTTAAAATATACTTCTCAACACAAACTTCCCAAAACAACCAGGAAAAAACACAGATAAGAAACAGGAAAATTGGCTAAATAGCAAAATGAAGAGCAGAAGTAAAAGTCTTGTGAATAAATCAATAAATAATATAAATAAATGGAATATGTAATATAAAGTGAATGAATAAATACAGAACATAAAATGGAATTAAGCAAATCAATCATTTAAAACACATGAAACAAGAACATTTGGAGGTAAAGTAATGTGTGATTAGAAATGAGATGAGCTATGTGAATGTGAATTTTTTCCTTTCATATGTGCAGCTGATTTTATAATCATATGCTTATTCAGTTATCATAGTTTCCCATATTTTTATCTCACTTTATTTTATTTCGAATTGTTTTAGTTGATTTATTTGTTTCAAATTATGCTTTTTCTTTTGCTATTTTGCAGATTTTACTGTGTCTCATTTGGATTAACTTGGTGTCTTTGGATGTTTTGTTTATTGTCTTTATTATTGACTCTACCTCATTGTGTTCCTAAGGTTAACATAAAGGTTGAATGAATACATGCTTTGTGTCTGGGCCACAACACACACCTTTGTTAATTAATTTGCATTGTTAATGTGTGAAACATAAATAACATCAACTTGTTCCGTCACCTCTTTAAAGGAATTCCTGAAGAACCAACAACTTCTAATGAATTTCCTCAATCAGCCTGAAAACTAATTATGCAGAGTCACACTACAATGTGAATTTTATTGACTTGCTGCTAAATGTTTCAACTTTTATTTAACCAACATCTTATTTACGGGGAGAATAACAGCCTCCTGATGGGATAAAGGGATTAAACCAAACACAGATTAATAATCACACTTCTGTGTTTGCATCTATAACCGTGAATATGTCATGATTTAGACCGCACAGTCTAAATAAACTCTGCAGGCCCTGCTTGTTGTGTTTGTTGCAGACTGTGATGTCTGAGGTGATGCGTGAGGCTGGTGCAGCTCTTTGCCTGGGAGAAGGACCCGCAGAGTTCACGTGAAGAATTTGCTCTCTGTTTCTCTCTCATTAAAACGATGGGAGGTGCTGGGACTCAGGTTGTGGAGACCTGGCCCTTTAAGAGTGGCTATGTGGACAGTGTTGTGTTCCCAGGGTCTTTAATGGAGACAGAGAGGGACTGAGAAAGACCCCATTGTATCTGCTCTCTTTTCAATGGGAGCTTGAGCAATGGTGCTCTCAGTGCTCCCAGATAGAAGCACAGAGAGGGGAGGGGGGTCACCAAGGGGGTCCTGTACAAGAAAGAGGGGAGTTCTTCTCAAAAACAAAGTTTTTTGGGGCTGGATGATGAACCAGGAAGCCGGGAATCTTTTGGTTTTGAGGGGGATGGGCATCAGGAATCAGAATTTAGGTTGAAGCCGAATCCTCCAAACCTGATTCACCAAACACACAGACTTAAAGATTTAGAGATTAGAGAGCACATGCATGCACTTCACCAGCAAAACAAATCATATGGACACCGGCTATTCTGTTCCCTCACTACGCCAGGCTGCAGCACCAGTGTGCTCATTGGGCTCAACTGTCTGCTAAACAAAACAACCTGTTCGTTTCCAATGAGAGCATCTATTGGCTGCAAGACCTGGGAAACACCTTGGGGCTGCTCTGCCAGCCGCAGGGGTGCTAACAATGAGGAGGCATATTTTTCCTTCTTCCTCTTCTTCTCCTCCTTGTTTCTGCAGCCAAAGATGAAGTGCTTCCCCCCAACCTGTTGCTCCATCACAGGGACTGACATGACATGTGACTGCCTGAAGTTTGGGGCTCTTCTGTCCCCTGCTGGCAGCAAACGCAAAAGCCCTCTTTCTTCACATGGGAGCAAATCCTCCATATAAAAAGTGATAAGGGTATTTTGTTTTATATGCAGTAAATGCCTGGTGAGATGTTATCACTCTGAAACTTGAATTGTAATTAGTGAATACGTTAAAGGAAATGCATGTTAATGTATGGCTACATTTTATGACCAGAATCTGCAACATGCAACAAGGCAGTGTGCACCCACATTCAAACAGAGATACATGGGATAGCACATAATGCTCCAAGAGATGCACAGAACTATAAATCGAAATCCATTATAATCGAAGAAAAATTTAATATCTACTGTGTTTTTTCTTTAGAGAGATCAGAAACTTTTATATTTATTAGTTAATTCATCAATATGTTTTGTATTTTTAACACAGAACCTAAAGACTTCCCGTCTAAGAGGCGGCTCTGAGAATCAACAGGCCTGTGAAATGAGTCACAGTAAATCTGAATCAGGATATCAAATTCCTAATTAGCCCAACCCAAACATGATCCTGACTCTCCCACATTCTGAGCATCTGCTTTCTTTTATACATGTACAGAGACTGTAGAGGCTGATGAAAAGTTCAGTCTGATATCACAGATCTGTCAGAGGGAAAACTAACAGTCACTTCAGGTTTGATGTTGTGGTTGTTTCATCATCACAACTCAGAACAGAAGTTTTGGCATGTTGGTTCAAATTAAATAATTTCACTTTGATAACATTTTGGAGGAGAAGTTGGAGGAGCTTTGTTTGCTGCATGTTAGGACACAGTATCAACAATTGCACATGTGCATTGTACTTACTTTGGAAAGTTGCATTAACATATGAGGGGTACATGTTCAATTTTAATGAGATTCCATCCTTGAACCCTCAATATCTGGAAATTTAATTCATAGACTGCACACAGGGACCAGGAACAGAGAGTCTTTTGTACTAATTCTTCTTTAATTTGCTGATTTATTACTGTGTGTATTTCTAAGCGTTTTGCCTTAGTTGGGTAAAATGATTTGTCTGAAAGCTGTACGCAGGACCTGTTTGACTTCGGTATGGCAGAGGACTTTTTTTAGATCCCTTCTGTTGTATAATGTTATTCAAACTGTGATAAACGACCGAGACAATGAGTAATGTTTAATCCCAGTTAAATATGTTACATTGAAGAGCCATTAATATCTCGGAGGTTGTTGCGCTGGTGAGGGCACGTGTCCTGGGTCTGGGCAGATTAGAATCGTGGTTGAATCTTCAGCAGCACAACAACAGGCTTCCAATTTTGCAAGAATAATAATCTGTTTTTTTAATCTGCCTAAGCGGGAAGTGATCTAAGGCCTGGCTCGGAGGTCATCCGAAGGCACAGAGATTCACTGAGGAACAGGTTTGATGACATTTCAACGTGGCCCTGCCGCCCATATGTTGCGTCCAGGGCCGCAAATAATAGAGATTTAAATCTGTGTTTCTGAGAGAGGAGCAGTGTGGGAAGGCCCAGCCTGAACATGACATCTGGTGATGGCCATGATGAAAATCATAGGATCTCTCTGATGGGATTTATCCATCGCTGTTATGATTATTATTCCTTCCTCTGAGGCTCGTATGTTTGTGTGCACATCAGCAGGGATGGCTCCAATTCCACTCACAACGGCACGGCTTTGAGGAGGGGAGGCCTAAATAGTGCGGATTATTCTCTCTCTCTCTCCCTGTTCTTAATCATCAGAAGCCTCCACGTCTCATTTCAGTCCCTGGTGCTGTGATGACCACAGGCATGAGCACAGCGGGCGTTCATCGAGGCTTCCTCAAGAAATATGGTAGGTCTGATTCGATTCCCTAAGCAGCATGTAGTTCTTCACTATATATCTGGGACATATCTGGTGTTTTATGTTGTGCATAGTTTATATTTTTTGCATTAAATGAAGGAGGTTTAAGGTTTTTTTAAATCATCTCCCCATGCACCTGTGTTTTGATGTAGACCTCTGTGGCTTCAGATATGCATGCTGTGTTGTTTGTGTGTTTTTTTTTACTCTATTGATACAACATTGATAAGCAAAGATGAAAAATTGAAATTAATATGTTTGTAAAAACTTACCAACAATTAGAATTTTACTTGGATCAGCACCAAATTGCACACAAACATCAGTCCCCTAAACATGTCTGATTGTTTTTTGATCAAGAATTATTTTCTGGGAACATGTTAAGAAACTGAAAAAAGAATGCTGGATCTGTCCCCTGATTCAGATCGACACCAACATTTAACAGATTCTTTCTTGACCCATCTTTCCATCATCTGTCTGATCCGTCTGATAGTCACATCTGTCAACTTCTGCCAGATGTGTTTGCACAGGATGCTGAGACATTACTGCTCAAAACCAAAACGTTTCATGCCTTAGTTCTTATGATACGTCTCTTTTATTCCTCTCTGGATTTCATTTGA